TGCAGAAATGATAATAGGCCGCGAGCCGAGGCCATTTATCTTTCAGTTTCGTAGCGCACATAAGGTAACTACCTGAAAATGATTTTAAAATGTTCCTTAGAAATTTAGTAACAAACATTGCCTTGTTCCTACTTCCAAAAGTTGCACGTTTTACAGAAAAGACGCTTATACTACAATAAATATGTGTTACCATCTGTCCTATTTTCTCTGCTTTTCCGGTATCGTGGGCCAATGAACGCAGACTTCTGCATGACGTAACAATCAAATTAGTCAGTTGTAGGTGGATCCCCCGTGGTCGGATGAATATCAGATGTACTACTGCTCGCTTTTGCGTTGAGTTGGGTAGCCTTTCCATAGTTTTTTTCAGTTATTATTAGTTCAGTTATTCTAAGGAGGTGTTGAAAAGTATAAGTAAGATATTAAACACTTGTATATCCTTACCATAAATAGCAATTTTAGTTGAGCACTAGCTCATAAGACGTTGTTAAATAGGTACGGTGCGGTAACTCCAAGGAAGGCTAGACCTAGAATAATATGTCACAAACAACGAAATTTTCTGGCTTGCATGAAATGTTTATGATTAATTTAATGACTCTTCTTGACTATTCAGCAGACTTAGACTACTATATAGGCCACAGCATATTTGGAAATAGAAATTAATGGCTGTTTCTGTAATGCACGGTTGTGTGAAAGAGAAGAAAATAATCAATTTTACTAATGCCGGTTGGTCTAAATCTGAATTCATAAGGTCGACAAGAACCTGGGAAGCAATGATAAGTTATGCCGTGGAAAGAAAGTAGCATTGGAAGCGATTGAGAGGTGAGAAATCAAGTTGTAGACAGACAGTTGATGTTTTAAAATATAGTCTATAGTCCAAACTCATAGGGCATTTCAGACTTTGATATATCAAAATTTAGTCTAGATATAGTCTAGTACTGGTATGCAAACACTACTGGACTGTAGTACATGCAATGGGCATATATACGCTCATTGAGTACATCAGACAAAATGCATTATGTGTTCAAGGTATTAGTTAGTATTTAATGGTATTTTTAAAATCATGCTGTTCAAAATATGATTTTCTTCCTCATTTTAGATACTGTACTACAAAAGAAAACGGCAATGTTCCACCAATCCGACCTAACGCAGGCTCAAGAAGTCTTAAAGCGTTAAGGTATATGAGAATCATAATAGTTGCAAACAGCTTAGAGGGGTTTTCATATTGAAATACTTTTCTGCAATTGGAACTGCCCATCAAACTCATGTTGGAGACTTCATTGACGTTTTCAATTCTTTTTTTTCTCAACTATGCAGATCTTTTGAGATTAACGAGACATTAATAAATAAAGCTGAGGAATTTGTTTGTTCACTGTATGAAGAGGATATGAAGAATGTAAATGATACCAGGGCACGTCTATTTAACACTGGCAAACATAAGGATTATACTCCTACACCCAACAATGATTCACTGAAGAGGCATGTGGCCCTCAAATCAGTTCGTGAGTTGGCAAACTGCAAGTGTAAGAAAAATAGTCAAAATAATTTATGCAAGTGTGGCAAAATCAACTTAAATTGCACAGATTTTTGTTTTTGTATTGACTGCAAGAATCACAGTACACTTATAGAGGAAAAGTCGATTTTCGAGATAGCGGATTTCGAAAACAATTCAGAAGAAAGTGAATTAGATATCGCAGTTGATTTAATAAGTATCATTCATTTGTTTGTTTTTTCGAACATTTGTTAGTGTCGTAGTCCTGTTTCTAGAAATAATATTGCCTTTGTTCAAATACATAAAACCACAAAAACTAAAAAAGACTAATTGTAATATTTCTGTTCACTATGTTATGTACATACTGTACATTCATTTAATTTTCTTGACTTTTCCGGTAAATTTCTAAGTGAGAAATAACTGGTTTATTTGTGTTTTCGTGTTCACGATGTTAATTTGTGACTTCATTGCTTAAAAATAAATACGTTTGATAGCTTCCATAAAATGGATGTAGATTTTTATGCTGTT